AAATGACATACTGAGAAAGTAAAAACCAAAACAGAACAAAACCTCAACTTTCTACCTTTTTGATTGGTGAATATATTTATTCCTCTTCCTGAGCCTTCACTTAGCATTAGTAAGCAAGACAAACCAACCAAGTAAAAGGTAATTAAAATAGAAGTACACATGACAGTGTTTTCAGGTAGCTCTGATGAAGTTCCTGTGCTTCTAACATACATTTCATTAATTTCACTAATTAATTTCATTTTTCATTTTTTCTTAAAGAGGACGATGTCAGCACAACTAATGCTACTTGCAGTAACTTAAAACCTTTTACCAATGGTTCTGTAGAAGTGACTCCATATACGAAAAGCAAATATAATAATAATAAATTCTTTGGAGAAACTGAAACATGTCACTTTAGAACACAACCATCAGGTAAGTCTCTTATTCACTAACTGTTATGAACAAGGCTGATATTAAAACACAGGGAATATGTACTTGCTTATTGTGCTTCATTTATATTATATCTGTTATTACTATTAGCCAAGAAACTGATTAACTTTAAAATAATTTTATTGACATTAATATCATTAGTTTATTTTTTAATTACTTAATCTATTTGTATTATGCATTTAGTATTAGTATTTGTTTATATATACCAGATTTAAAAAAATATTTCTGTATTCAATTGAAATTCTTGGTAAGATTTTAGAAAGTGTTGTGACCCAATCTAAAGAAAAGCTTCAAATTAAACAAAAAGAAAATGAAAAATGTTTGTTTTTTTCTTTGGGGCATGAAAGCTACAAGGATGTGCAGAACGTACCTTCTGTTTGTAGTTGCCTGTTTGCTCAAAGCAGACCTGCATTACCCAGGCTACATCAATACTGATGTCTGTACTGAGTTTCGGTTAGTTTGGACATACATGTACACAGTCGGCTTCTAAGACTCCACATTAGGTTAAAGCCAAATGTGTGCCAACCCTTGTGCTGTCAGAAAGCTCTGTGCACTTTTTGGGGCTATACTCCCCTGGTCCTGATTATTTGTTTGCCATATATATTCAACTGATAGAACTACAAGAAAAGCTAAACAGACCCCCAAACCCAAGAGATTCTGCAGATATTTTCCTGATGCAGACAAAGCATAATAGAGGTGCAATCCTTTCTATTTTGTTGGTTTTTTTTTTTTCCTTTTAATCTTCAGATGTAGACCCTCACACTGTTCTAATTCATTCTTTGAGAAAAAAGACCAAAACTACAAACCAAAGCCAAAACCCCTTGTGTTTATGTAACTTCTTCCAGTACTTTTTCAGCTCTAGTTCCACCACTTCCAGACTCAGCTAATATAGATA